ATATCTCGTCATCTGTCTGTACTATATTAACACATTGTTGACCGGAAATTTTACGCAAAAGCTATCCCATGTCGCCGGTTATTATTCCGTACTTAAATATGAAAGTGAAACGATCTAAATAAACTTCAATATACTTTGCACAATTTATTTTGTACATAATGAATTGAAATGAAGCTTAGGACATATGTTTTTATGTTTCAAAAGTTGAAATAGCTAATACAGGTACAAACACGAGTTATCCCGTGACCGGTCAACAACATGGTAACTCTTTGCACTCGAGGACTCCGGAGCAAAGCCACTTAAAATTTGTCGCTATAAACTGCAAAAATTTTATCACTAAATATATTATAACGTTCATATCTACAATCGATAAAAAACAATAAAATACATCTATGACTTTTCTTTTCATGCGCGTATCATTTATTTATATGTTAATATACTTTATCCATTAAAATTATTTCGAGTTGTTGGTAATGTCAGTAAGAAAAAGATTCGAGTGCAAAGGGTTAACATTTCGACTGCCACAGTGGTCACCGATGGCTTGAAGTTACAAATTGTTTGAAAACAATGACAAGAAGAAAACTGATATCTTATATAAAATCCATAAATCAAAATATTTAGTAACATAAGAAACTGAACCATAGCGTAACTTAAAAAGTATAATATCAAACTACTAACAATTAATTCTAATACCACTTGTCTTTGTTGTGAAAGAATAAATAATATTATTCAAAACGCAAAAAATTGTCAAGGCAGTCAACATGTTAATATAAGTTTGCTTTTTCGTCAGGGTCTTTCAAGCTTTCACAAAATCACTGGTTTCCTTGGCCGCGACGACAATAATCGTAACAACAGTTAACACCTCAACTCGGTTACGTCTGCCATCCCCACTCCAAATTTTTTCCGTTACTCCGCCACGAATTCCTTCGAGTGTCATCGTTGAGCCAAGAACGACGCTGTATCGGAGGGTTCCGGATCTTAAAATCCTTCACTGTAACGATTCTGCCGTGGGGATGTCCCCCTAGACTTTTGGCTAAATTCGAGGCAGTTGTGAGGAACACATCCCAGGGGTGCTCCCGACTCCACCTTGAATTTTACACGCTCGTAAACGCGCGAGTTGCGACCGGGCTTGACAGATCGTTGCCCAGTCTTCCGCGATCCCAAGAAAACATGAAATCGAAGAGGAAAATTTGTGACGTCATAAATTATGTAATCATGTTTAAGTTGCTCACGTAATGTGTGAATAAAATATAATCGAATCTCTGTAACGCGAAGGCCAGTGTAATACGAAATTATTCCCCGCCCTGGTGTCAACATTTCTGCAACATTTCTGTTAGCATTCCTATGTTTTAATATTTTAATATTAACAAGTTGAATGCCGCACGATGTCATAGAGAAAAATACACACAATAGAAAACATATAATATTAAATCATTTAATTAAAATCAAAATTTACTTTTCTCTATGTATTTAGTTACATATATATGACACAATAAATTGAATGTGATTTCTACATATGTATGTGATATAATTTATTCAGTGAGATTGCTGGTTCTGTAATCATCAATTATTTATTTCTAACAATAATGTATATACTTACCTTGGCTACAAGACCAGTTGACTATGAATAATTAAAGGATAGATAGAATGAGCTTGGAATTCTTTTTCTTTTAGTAAATTATTAATGAGAAAATAATTCCTTCTACTCTTTTCAAACTGTTTTACAAAAATTAGTGAATACAATGAGTTCTAAATACAATATGAAACTCAATACAATATTAAAATCTATTCACTCGTTAATTTAACGAAGCAAAAACTTCAAATACGAAAAATTATTCTCCTTAGTTAAGACTCTAATCTGCGAAATTCGATTGTATTACTTTTATATTACTATTGTTCTAAATTACTTTTTTTTTACTACAAGCATTATATAAAATTTCCTTTCAATACATTCTAGATACAGTTCTTAAAAAACGTCTACGACTGAGTTACATATTAAAGAATTTATAATGATCCACTATATATGTATAATGCAGAATTCATACCTATTGTCATTGATAAAGAAATCAGTGTTACAAATTAAATTTCTGTAGTAAAAATGGTTAAGAATAAAATGTAAGGGACCATTCCTACGTAAGTATATAGGAATAAAATTAAAAGAATAGAATGGAATATTTTTTCACTAGTTTTACTTATCTTTATGAGCGATGGAAAACGAATAAGGATATGTAAACTAATGTATTTCAAAATATTCGAAGATGTTTTGTGTTTTTATGGAACTTAATAGTGGTAGGTCGTACACTTCAATCAATATTTGTAGAACATAATTATTTGGCTACGGTCAAATCGACATTTTCGAAAGCAATTTACAAAAACATGAAATACATAGAACTTGATTTTTTTGTTAAAAAATTTATCGTACGTATATAAATTCTAATATCCTCCTCAAATTTATCACAAATGAACAAAATGCAGTCTAAATTATTATATACATACGTATCATGCTCAGAAAATGTTCTGCCGTTGGAAAGATGATGCGATATTAGAAGCAACAACAGAAAAAAGTGCAGGTGTTTCCTACGGTTGATGGGCAGTCTCAGTGGTACGGGTGTGTCACTTCCAATACAGTCTGTTTATCTTCGGGCATTGTCTTGAGGTTCCTAGAATCAGCTTTAACCTAAAAACCACTAAAACATTCAATTACGACTCCCAATTGTTTAAAGAACTCATCTTCGTTAGACTGATGATAATAAAACAATTGAAACATTGTTGATTTTCGAATCATTACTTTATGACACGACAATTAAGGAACTTCTGAGTCTTCCGGCCATAAGGAGTAATCTTTAAAAAAAATGACCCTAACCTTAAGCTAACATTGCATATAGCTGTATCAGGAATCGAATAACACGCCGATACACGTGTCATGTAGCAACTCCCTTTAAAGTGTATCTTCCTCGTGTTCCGGTACAGTGGTCACCAACCGACGATTTAGTCGATCGATTAACAACAGGGAATTTTTTATGTGATCTTTCCATACAATTACGGCTTACATCTGAATGCATAAATTTTATCACAATGAATTTAATAATTTCTATCTCTATTTTGTGTTTAGTAAGCAAACGAAGGTATTGTTTTTTCATTGAAACACAGATAATGCTTTTATACGATATCCTTTATTATTAGTGCAAATATTTTTTATATTTTATTCAAATAATTTTTCTTTTCAAATGAAACAAAAACTGTTATTATTAATATAAATATTAATCGAATTTGATTTCGTTAGCTTTACATACTGTGATTTGCAATAGCTGATATGTACAGAGTGCTTTATTTTTAACAAAGCAGATTTTGTTAATTGTAATTTTTTTTAATGTCAAAAAATGTTGTTAAAAAAAATTAATATCATGTTTTGTAATTCTTTCTCAAAGTCATTTTCTTCAAATTTTCAAAGTCTTCAACATTTTTTTAATAATACATAGTTATTATAGTATAGTTGTAATTAAACACATATATTTCGTATGCATACATATTATTTGTTGACCTCGAATGAAAAATTCTAATTTTCATTGTTTATTTCCACAGTATTATTTTAGAATTTTTCATTATAATTGAAGTAATAAAAATACATGCATGTAAAATTCTATATTGTAAACTTGATTTGTTTACGCCAGGTGGCTCCGAAATTTACTTATTGCTATATAAATATTGAAAATTGAAAACTTTACCATGAGGTTTAAGATATTTATAATGAAATCACAATTAATATATTGATAAAAAAAGATATTTTATAATATCATTATTTAATTTTCCAAATATTTTTTTCTCATCCCTCTAAAACCAGTGGTAATGGGTTGCCTGGATCTTGCATGTAACCATTTAATTAGATGCATGATATTTTTTTCTTATCCTCCATATTCATCTTTTTCAGGTACAGACGTAATGGTTTAAGAAATAAATCCTTTCATGATAAATAAATTATAAAATGATTATTTGATAATTTTTTAGTGCTAGGATTAATAATGTTTAGAAATCTGTAATAATGCCACAAATTATTTCTCGAAACATGCGTAAAGAATAAAATGAAAATTATTTTGATTAACTGTGATATCTGAAAGAAATTATGGATACCAAGCATTTTATTTAAAAGGCCATATTTCATACGCAGCATTGTAATAAAAGAATGCAAGCTGTAGAGTATTTGCGCTGATATTTTATTTTCGTCACTGCGACGACTCAGGAAGGGAAGGTAACATGCACACTCGAAGGTGTCATAAATTATACCTTTCGTTACTGCGTCGTATACTATTTTAGAAGAACAAAGCAAGAAAACAACTATCATTATTCAAGTTTTCGATGATTTGTAATGTTTTAGGGAACATGCAATTATGCTAGCTTTTTGTGACATTTATTAATAATTGCTAATTTAATCGATCATGTAGCGTTCGACTTTTTCTGACATTTTAGCACTTAATGTTATGACACTTAATCTTTTACAAGTGTTTATTGATCCTTATTGATATTATTATTAACACGTTACGCGTTCTCCATTTTTCATATTAAAACTTACATCAACATTGTTCAATTCAATTGTAGTTTTATATGCCACTTCACTAATTTATTTAAGAATATTTAAAAAACAGTAAAATTATACATAAACCTACATATACCTACTTACAGAAGTATATGAAAATTATGTTATGGTTCAAAATACTACAATACATCCACTGGATAACAAAAGTATAATATTTGAACGCTAACATTTACAAATTTTTAATGAGCGAAATGTGTTATACAGAGAAAATAATAGTAATAAAATTACAATGACTTTATAACTATGTTCAATATTTGAACGGTTCCATTCGAGCTCCGGTATCTATTGTAGTGAATTTAAATCAAAAAATTTCATTGGAAACGATTAGCTATCGGATTTTGCGATTACACGCCTTCACGTTCGTGGTTCGGTCGCATGGAACTTACCTGGTGGGTTCCGCACGAGCCTATCAGAGGGATGAGTTTAAAGAGGCCGCGCGGTATAGCATCGGTTCGCGTGTGCCCTGACGTGGAAAGCCGGTTAGTCGGACTGAATCCTTCGTGCCGGCTGCATTTACAGGAACGCTCCGCTCCGTTCGTGTTCGATCCATTTCAAAGTGTGACCATCGGCGCGTTCGATCCTAAATCCTCGTAAAGGTACCATCGCGTTTCGATCCACGGGAAAACCGGTGTTCGTTCCATCCTCGAATGTGCGCGATAGGAACTAAGTGTCCGAGTAATCTGCGATGTGAAACGTTTGTCGATCGAATGGTGTATTTTTCATATTTCTCTGCAATTCCAAGTGCACGTGACCAGGATTTACAGAATTAACCGAGTCTGCGAGTTTGAGGGTACGTTCACTTTGTTTTCATCCTAGAGTAGTACCGCGCACGCGTGCAACGTGACCTCTGATCGCTTTCAATTATATATGTAAACAAGCTCCATGTGAAAATGCGCGACAGGAACGAGCGAAGAGTAACATCGTTATCGAAGGTTTTTACTGTCTTCTTATAATATTCTGATCGTTAAACTTAATACTGATTCAACGTCATATGATTATGCGGTGTTTTATATGCATCTGATACAATTGCAAACACGCGTTTCCACGAGCGTAGTACTGATGTAAGTTATGTATCCGCTGCATTAATGGAATTCACAGGAAAAGATTACTTGCGAAGGTAAAGCAATTACCGACCGGTGAAACGAACCGATGAAGGTTTTCGTTGAAACGGAATACTAGAAATAAGTATTCGTGACTGATTCGAACCAAGTGTAACGTAACAGTAGGTTGCGTTATCCTTTCAGCTTTCAAAAATGCATGTCGAACGTTCGTTAATCGTTAATTGTAAGCGGTCTTGTGTTGTTTATGAGTTCTGTGATACTCTAAAACGATTTATATTGTTAGAGGAACTTACGCTGAACGTTTAGTAAGTATGAATTTGAATTTTCCATGATAAACGTGCACTGAGTTTTTACTGAAAAATTTATATAACGTTTGAACGGTAGTTGTAACAGTGACAGTACTATATTCTTTTAATCTTAAAATAATAGTATACGTCGAAAACTTCAGTGAAAGTAATTTTAGACTACGGAACGGTAGTACCATTCGATTGGAAGGTGGAAAATATATCTAAGATTTAACAATTTAATTTAATTTCAATTTAAATACGTAACAGTCGCAATTTTTCAAAGCAGTTTTTTCACTCGATATGTGCATGTTTTTTACGATCATGGCAAAATTGTATCAAATGATATATATTATTGACAGTTTTGTAGTATAAAAACATTTATAAAAACTTATGATATACAATTCTTTATTTATATTTTAAACGAAACAATAAATTTAAGTAAGTTTCATAAGATTTCTTAATTACTCTAAGCAATACTTTCATCTATATTCGCTATTTTTAAAATATTGACGTTTCCACCCATTGTAACCCATTTGTATTAGTATTTTTATTGCTGATTCATACGAAGTGTATATGGATATTCTATATATTGACTTTCACAATTTATATTCCTCTTAGTTTGAAAGGAAAAATTATTTTACAGCACGCAAAGTTTAAATTAATAAAAATTTGGTCGAAATGAACGTCTTTTTATTAACATTTATTCTGAAAAATATTTCTTATATTCTGTACAATATATTATATAAGCTATTCCATTTATCGAAGAACAGATAGGATACAATTTTAAATTCTTTGACAAAAACAAGAGTTTAAGAATAAGCAAATCAGTGTTTCTATATTCCATTTTTTACATAGTTATACCATGTTAATATGTAAATGATATTCCAAACATTCAATACATTTATAATATTTGTACATTGTATTTTATAGCCATAGTTTGTCGAGAGATATCTAGAACGGTCATTTGGATAAATCGCAACTTACTGCAACTGAGAGAGCATCTGTTTCCTGGGTACAAGAAAGCCGTAATTGTAGAACGTATATATCAAAGTCAGTCGAGACACGAGTGAGTTAAATCTCACACCTTCTCAGAAAGTACGGAAGACAGATTGCGTGCAATTATATCTTAAAGCTAGAGATCTTCTTGTTAATGATATACCATCACATCTATCGTTTTTTCCATATGCATATGCATTTTATATTAGAAAATCATTACATTATTAATACACTATTAATGAGAATTATCTTTTCGAGCTCATAAACGTATCAAAATGTAAATGTATTTCTTGAGTTCGTGTTTGTTATCAATTTTATATCTATACGATTATACGTATTTACATGTACGCATTTTTGTAAGTAAAAGAAGTGAAACAGTAACATAGGTTTTCACGATACCATTACACTTATTAGTTGTAAACCATTACGGGATCATAAATTTCTTCGATGACATATTCATGAAATGTTAACTACGTTTACAAGTGCAGCGCCAGGATACGTGAAATTAACGATTTGACACACTTTTTTTGAATGACTGACTTCTACAGATTCAAATAAAATTTTTTTCCAAACCATGTCAAAGAAATCAGTATTAGCAGTAATGTTATTGTAATAATAGTATAAATATTCTATCTCTTCGAGTAATACAAAGTAACACGAATTTGGTTCAGCATGAGTAATGAACTAAATTGATATCAGAGGGATTCTAATTATTATTATTATTTTTATCATTTATAGTAGAAATTAATATCTAGTTAAAAATACTGTATAAAACAATTAAATAATAATAAATATAGATTACTACACAGATAAAATAAAAGAGTATATGTGTTTTGAATATAACTTCGTTCGGTAACAGTATCAGTTTCTATTTTTGGTCTCTTATAATACGGTTTTATACTACGCAAGCTTCTATCAGAACACAACTACCACATTAGCTGTGGGCTACTTGTGTCCAATAATATACCGATGATACTACGGGTTTCTCCTAAATTTTTGACGGTTAAATTTTCTGATTGATTGATTGATTGTTAAAATCTTTTATCTCCAGAAGTAGATGTCAATAAATCGGATACAATATTTTTGATAGTTTAATAGTGCTCTGTATGAATTTTAATAATAGTAAGAACTTAGAATTAACGATTTTTCTTAACGAATAGAAAGGTGTTCATTTTTCGCTACGACATAGTTAACCTTGCAGCGCAGTAATTATTGAAAGAAGAATCAAAAGTGGACTTACACAGTTTACCATATTTATCATATGTTTCCATATTTCTTCGACAGGTTCCAACACATTGTAATTACATTTCTCGTAGTTAACAACGAAGATAGAAAGGATTCCTATAATTCAAAATAGTATCCTTAATTTTACAGTAACATAACTGAACAAAATTTTCTATTGTAGTAACCTAAACCACTGTATCCTCGGAATTATTCTCAATATTGACGTTATTTTATAACATAGAGCGGTCACAATGAACAAACTACATATATATGTAAATACATAACTATCTATAACTATAAGTACTTAAAAGATACTTTCTAAGTACCATTATTCAAAACTGGCAGAACTGTTGCATTTACTTAACGTAACACCGTAAATACAGAGGTTAAAGTAATTTATCTTTCCCCACTAAACGGTAATTTCCCACCTTAACGAAACACCTAATCGCGTCTGTTCCACCTTTGCTATACAAGTAACAAGCGGTATAAAAACACCTATACGAAATTGTTCTAGCACTTAACTTGAGCAATTTATTAGGAGTATTTTACGCGACATCCTTTTAGTTTAGATGACATCTTTCCTGATCTATAAACACATATAAATAATAGTTTATATTGTTCCTTTAAAGAATCTAATTTGACACTAGAATTCTCAAATATTTAAAATGTTTTAGACGTAATTTCTTATACAAATTACGGGAGTACCATTTTACCTATCTATGGGACAGTCATTAAAGTATATGTAAACATGAAAAATATTGATTTTCAAAATTGGCCATTTTGCCAGTCTGAGAGTTCTTGTATTAAAGAAAATGTTTCATCTTGTTCACTTTAATTTACATTAATAATTTTTTAATGCTGCAAACATCATTTGTAATAGTTTTCAAAAATGCTTCATGATATAAAACGTAACTGAACAGGACCATTTAGGCACTTTAAAAAGTGTACTCAGAAGTACCTGATTGACACTGTCAAATTGCTAATTAGCATAATATGAGATAGTTTGAGGTGAATATTCGCATGGTAAGGTTCATCGTGGTCCGATTTACCGTGCGAACATTCTCAAAGTGCAATAAAGTTCCGCAAGGAAAACCGAATCGAACGTACCGTTAATCCAACATTAATTTTACGCGAAATACCCAGGCCACCGCGTAACCCGCGAAACGCAAATGCATTATTCGACCGTTCGCATTGCGCAGCGTGAACAAATTTTCTGTTGCAGACTCGACTGCCTCTCACGTACTCCGCCACGTTACCCAGAAAATTGCGCAATATTAAATCGGTCCACGCATTAATCGGTCATCGTGTATAAGCGTGATGTGACTGGAAACGAAGAATGTCTGAGGAACATGCGATTAATGAGAAAACAATGCAACATATAATTTCATACAATTATAAAGAAAGTAGTTGAACTACTCCAATTAACCAGGAACACAAGACAAGCACACTTTCTAATTTCATTAAGCAACACGTTTCTTAAAAGTAGAATTTACATTGAACAGTTTAGTATTTGATGATACAATGAAATGAAAGATTTCGGCTAACGACAACGATACTATATTATTCTTGATTACTTTTGTAATTGTTTTAACAATAAATCTACGGACATTTGTAAAGAAAAATAACTGTCTCAAGCATTATAATTTTTTCTAAGAAAGGCTTATTTACTTGTAACACGTAAGAAAATTTACACCATATTAACGCCAACCATAGAATATTTAATCGAACTCATGACGAAGTTTAAACGGAATTTAGAAAGCATAAATATTGTTCCATTCTTTTAAATTTGAGTTACGTATTATGTCTTTGTTATTAATCATTATGCTTTAAAGTAAACGTAGATCTATAATTAGTACAGAACTCTTTCCTTCTTTTAATGAATTTTAAACAATAAGATAATCTAACATCGAGTAAGGCATTAACACCAAAATTACAAAGCAGTTAAATTGACTTTTTGAAATTCCTCTATAGAAACTTTAAGAGTGCATCTATTGAGAGTTTAATTGATTTATAGTTCCGTTTGCGTGTTGCTAAATCAATTTCTTTCATAATTTCTTAAAGAAACATCTGTTATCTTTCTAATAATTACGAAAAAAAGAAATCAGGAGTGGGTCATTTTGACCCATCTGGTAGTTTTAGTACTAAATTAGCGTAAATAATGGAGGAACGATCGAAAAATGAAAAAGAACTGACAGAATCTACTGAAGTAAAAGATTACATTGCGAATTTTCGACGAAGTAGTCGGAATCGGGAATCCTACGACGAAATAGCGGAGCTCGAAGCGGAATTGCGAAGAGCGTATATAGCAAAAGAATTAAGAACACAGCTTATAGAAAAAGAAACCGAGCGATACATCGAAAAAGTGCAGAGACAGCAAGCTGCGAAAATGATGCAGTTAGAGGAACATGCGGTCGTGGAAGATGATCTACGCCTAAAATTCGACAATCTCCGGAAATCCGAAGATTACAGGCGACAGCTGACGGAGCAGATAACGCGAAAACAGGAGGAAAAATGCGCGATGATAGAAGAGGCTCGTAGGGAAAGAGAAATCTTAACCGAGGTTGACAGGATACGGGAGCGACGTGAGAAATTGAATGAGATGGAGATGAAAAGCGAAATGGCCGAGAGCCTGAGACGAGAAAATTTTATTCTCCAGGAAATGAAAGTGATCCGCAGCCAAGAGGAAATGGAGACTGAAATGAAGAAACTTTTAGAGGACGAGGAATATTTGCGAGAAATTGATCGGCGAGCGGTTAAAGCGAGAAAACTTCACGAGGAACAGATGCGCAATAGGGAGCAAGCTATCCGTAAAATAGCAGAGATATTAACAAATTTGAACTCCCAAAAAGAAGAGAGGTTGAGGTTGATCGACGACATAATAACCGCAGATGTGAAGCTTGAGTTGTTGATCCAAGAAGAAGAAGTCGTCCAGAGGAAAACGATGAGGAAACAGTTGGCAGCTGATTTGGAGGAGCAGATCGCTTTCACGGAACAATGTAAACTGCGCTTTGTGGAGCAAGATAGAGCATTCGCGGAAGAAATCATGAAGAAAATTATGGAGGACGAGAAAACTGAGAAACTCACCAGAGAGGCTAAGCGAAGAATGCAGTTACAGTATCGAGACGATTTGGCTCGGATGATCGAGAAACGGCGTAAAGCACGAGAGGATGAAATCGCTAGAATGAGAGAGCAAGCTAAGAAGGAAAATGAATTGGAGATAATTAATCTCAGTCGCGCTAGAGAAAAGAGAAAACGATTGTTAGAGACACATGCGTCAAACGTGGCTGATTTCTTGGATAAGAATGCTCTCACGGAAGAAGAGAAAGATATTGTTGAAAAAGCCGTAGAAAGTGAATTCTCATCGAAATGTGTGCGAAAATCGGACTAAAAATATACTAGCTTTCTCGCTTTAGTTGGACATTAAATTTGTTTCGATTATTATTTTGAAGGTAAGAAAATATTGCTGAAAGGAGTTCATATGGTTTTTAAATGTACATCTGATGATGATGAGGTCCTTTCGGAACCACTTTAAATTTCATTTTAAGGTAATTGCGGTTTCTTTCAAGTTAACATCTATGTAATAAAACGATCAAGATCATTAGTACCTTCAAATGGTTTTCAAGAAAAAAATTAATTTAAATCATTTATTACCATGTGTAGGTACACATAAATACAATAATGTGAATGATCAAAATTTTGGACACATAATATAAAGCATCTTATTCATTATTCTTGTTACCTAATCTTATTATGCCTAACAATATTTAATTAAAGTTAAACACTGTGGTTTATTCTACTGTATGTAGACAAAGTTACGTTCGTTCATTCGGATTTTGGAAGTTAGAGATTTAAAAGTAGATAACTGAAATACATATTGATATAATTGTATCGATCAAAGTCAACGTAAACATATATTAAATAGTGTTTATAAAATTCAATACGCGTCACACTGACGAGCTCCTTAATTATTAACCTAATGTTAATTAATGGTGTTTCTTAGTGAATTTCTATAATTAATTTGGTTAATTCTTTCATATTATTTGAAATACTTGTACTAATTTCCTTGTAAGTCATAAATTTTAGAGCTTTCACTACACAAATATCATATTTATTTGTTTTCTAACTGCGCAGTTGCTGTTTGACGCCACTAAACATTAACAAAATGTAACAAAATACCTCTATAATCGCTTATAAGAATAATTCAATTCTACTGTTCAAAAAGGCACATTTCTTTTTTGCTGAATGAAGGTCATCTATAAATCTCAGAAGTATTTTCTTATCATCGCCATATGCACATCTCGAAATTACACAGACTGTTATTCACTTATTCTTATTTTTTCCGTATTGGGACATAACATTGATTGAATAATACTTCATCAATTAAATTTTTTTATATAAATAAAAATTCATTTTATAGTTACAATTCAATTCATAATAAAACGAAGCTATTAGACTCAATTATTAATCTGTATAACATTTTATAGATGAAAGTAATGAAATGTATGTTTGTTACAAATTTCAAAAACTAGCTGAATTAAATTCAGTTCCTAAGACAAGTCTTAACGCCGAATCAAATACTATATCCTATAATATATATATATACATTAAAAAAATTTCTAATACTGTACAGATATTCGTGTAGACATTTATAACTGTTTATGGTATTTTCAATTTTCTTGTCCGATATCTAATAGAACCATTAATCAAAATGTCAGATGTCGAACTAATAATTAGTGGTGTATTACGCGCGTGAGTAACTTTCAGTGCTAAAAATTACTGTATCAAAAATTCTAAAAGTATATGCTCGTATATGACATGCCTATCTTTAGATCTATAATTAACGTTTAGTTTATAATACACTAACATTTTATAACGTCAACAAGATAAACGTTACCCGTTCAAGCGAGCGATTTTCTAATGTCAAGGGAACAGTTGAGAAAATAAATTTCAATGTTATTGTTCTAATTTTTACATGATTAATGAATGAAATACGAATGAAAATAAAACCTCTGATAAATAAATGTAATAATATAGTTCAATTTTTAAAATTTCCACGGTGTCATAAAAACTTAAATACTTCAGCTTTTTATAAGATGACACAGAAATTAACTTTTCCTTTCCCAAAATGTAAAACGTATCAAGAAAGGTGAACATCTTTGAAATGTAATTATTATTTTTCTGTAAAACTAACTCATTTCTACTGTATCGATATTTAAAAGCATTATACTAAAATGTTGCCTATAAATAAGTTTTAGTTCCTAATATTATGTTTAATTAATATAGCTGTAATTACCTATGTATGTTAATCTCATGTACATATTTTCCAGATAAAAAATAATGATAAAAGAAACAGTTACAAATTCTCACTATATTATAAGAGAATATAAATATAACGCGTAATTTACAGAGTAAGCCTAAATATTCATGTATGAAGTATGAAAAGAACGTTAGTTGATAACAAACGATACTTTATTGTAATAAATGAATTGTCCTTATATATATATGTGACACAATTCTTATTAATTGTCAGAATGCTTAAGCATCAATAAATTAAATATGTTTACAATCATTTCGTCATAGGAACATAGAGTTTCGAATGTTTTGTGGGAGATAGAACAAAGTTAAACCTCTGGCATCTGTCGGCAGGTGTTACCAATTATTTAAGTGTCCAATTTCCTGTGCGAGAATTCCTACAAAGCAGTAAAAACAGATTTATGTCCCTTACCTACGATTTATGTAGAAACACGTTAAAAATGTAAATGTAACATCAAATGTCTAAACTTAGTGTGCAAAAAATTCAACTATACTTTTGAAATTTATTTAATATCAGTTTATTTAATGAATTTCCTTTATTGAACTGATTTCAGAACTTCATTTAAAGGCGACGTTATGTATCTCATACACTGTATATTGTTAATAACATACTGATATATGAGAAACAAAATAATATATTGTGACAGTAGTTTCTTAAATGATACATTTGCATTCGCAAGTAATACATTTCTTGTGAAATAAACAAATACTGTATTAACGCTAGATTTACGGAACGCGCCAATTTGACACAGATTTAATTTATTAACATTATTTCGTAAATGTTTAAATCAGTTTTGGTTGATGAAATTACACGGATATGTGTTCTAATTGTCTATTTTGAAATCTATAATCTTCAAAATCTAAATTAACGAACATCAATTTTTCTGGAAACAATAACAAAATATTATTGTCAATCGCATATGTCATGATAAGTGAACGAAAATAGAGTTAGGAAAATGCATAGAAGGATTTGAAAGGACATGGAGTATGGCTCCATAAAGCGTTGTGTTCGTCAGTTTATCAGTTTACTATTTAAATATGTTATTAAAAAATCCAACAATCACAAATTCTTGGCAAATCGCGTATTACATTAACATGTGGATGTTCACAAATAAAATAATTCAATGGAACTTATGATGTACCGTTATTTTTTAATTACACAACATCCGGCTTAATAATCAAATTCATTAAACCATTAAGATTTTTCAATTTTCCGCCTACTAAACTGTTTACTTGGAATCGCACACTATTCACGATATCCTTTGGGAAGTTCTGTCGATTAGCAAAAAAGTGTGCTGGGCGTATTATTGGCTGGCAATCAACCGATGACTTGTGCTT